GGCCCGCTCTGGCCCGGGCAGCGGCGGCGGGATCAGGAGGGCTTTCTGGCTCGCGCTCCGAGGTGGGGTAGTTTTCCCGCGGTCAGGTCTCAAGCTTGGGAGAGGCTTTTAGGATAAGGTGCAGTGAGGCTCTGTGATGTGTGAGGTTTGTGTGCAGTTGTGAGTTGCTTCTTGTGGAACGATCTCGGAGGGAATAAAATCTTGGTATTACGAAGGCGTTTGGTAGCTGCAAGGTTTGGAATAAACCTGAAGCATCCCCCCGGTGTTTTATCCACTATTACTATTTTCTTACCTTTTCCTTTAAAGTAAGGGTGGATGTGACTTTTCTGTCAGTGGCAGTGTGTTCCTTGTGTTCCCCCGGCCCCCCAACTCCACCAAAAAACAAACGTATTCCTGGAAGCGAGGCTCTGTAGTCAAAACTTCTACACTAAAGTTACATAAGCATGAAAACTAACAGTCAAAGAGTATCAGCTCATGCCATATTTAAATTGCTGTGTGGTCTTCGAATGATTGGTTGATAATCCATTTTATGTATCGTAATTTCTGTGCTCCTTTTTAATTTGTAAAGAGCCTAATAGGGGTCAGGGTTAAAAGATACTGTTTACGTTCCTGGTGTGCTCTAAACTGTTTGCTTGGGTGTCCTGTGTGAACGGCCCGTGCTTGAGTGCTGAAGGAAAGGTATATTGAATGGCTGAATTCTCTTGCCTAATACAATGCAAAGAATGATCGTTCTGACTTTTTTAGTGCAGGTGGTTATTTAACGAGCTTTAGTGGAGAATATTTTTTTGTGTGTAATGTAGCTGCTGCAAAATGTTCTCAGAAATCTTTTTTAGGAGCCCGATACTCTGTTGACAGCCAATTGAGTCTGCTTCTTGATAAACTTCCGAAATCCTGTTTAGGAGAATGGGATTTCTATACATATCTGTGTATCAATACATGTAAGTGGAATTAAATTCACTTGCTATTTTTTTCTTAGAGTTGACTATCCAGGAAAGACCAAAGAGAATAGAAACAAATGTAGTCTTACAGTGTGTGAAAGCTATCTAAGATAACTGAATGCAAGTGGATGTATGACTTATGAGCTAGCAGGTCACAGGAGCTGACTAAGATCAACTGACAGTCAATACTCGCATGCATTTGTATTCTGTAAATCATAGTGCCCAGTCAGATGCTTCCTTAGAGCTTCTGCGTGCACATTATTACTTAACTGAAATGACATGTGTGCGTGATCAGTGCACTTGATTCTCTTCCCGCTGTTGCATGAGGTAACCTTACTGATTTGAGTGGTTTTACTTTTTATGATCATAAGCGTGCAAGGACAGTCTGGACAATATCCACCATGTATTTTACTGGGGATTCAATTGCACTGATGCGTTCTACTTGGTTAGTCTAACCATGATGCAGAAGGATGCAGAATACCTTTTCTAAGCTTAACTTCTACTCCTCCCTGTCAAAACAGGCTCAAAACCCTAAATCACAAAACCTGTATGTGAAAGAAAAGTATTAAAGTTTAACCTTCATCCCAAACACACACACTTCAAACAGCCTGTCATCATACCTTGCTCAGTTAAGTGTTATGAAGTTTACTGAGCCTATTGGGTAGTCTTTGTAACACCTTTTACACAGCTTCACAAATGTTGTAAAAGTGGTCTGGAGTGGTTCATGGTTGAACGTGGAAGTCCTGAGACTTCATTCTCTGTTTTCAGAGGTTTAAGGGGGAGGAACGAATGCCAGAAAAATTCCAGCAGAAGCAAAACTGGAAAACAAAACAAAGCAAACGACCTGCTTGCAAAAGGGTAGCTGTGCTAAGTTTTTCCCTGCAGAAACAGGGACACTTTATTTTGAAACAAAGATAGCAGTTTTGTGTCTGTATTTTGACATAATTAAACAGACTTGTGCACTGATGTAATTGACTATTTGGTTTAAGTATTTAGCAAAAAGTGTATCAACAGATGAACAGAAAACAAGGCCATGCGTCAAGATAAAACAATGAGCCCTATATTGCTGTTCTTGGGTATTTGAATGGGGAACAAGAGCGTTTCGCTTACTGCAGTGTGGGAAGACAATGTGAATTAATTTCTTGTTACTGTGTTCTAGAGCTGCTATATTAACTTGAACATAGGTCATTGCAAACTTAGGCGATCACAAATCTTTGTCTGTAAGTGAATATAACGTGATGTATCTGTTAGCACATCTTGAAATGTGTAGTAATAGTCTTAAGCAATACATAACAATGTGATTAAGGGGGACTACTCAATCCCTGTCTTTTTATGTGGTTACTTAGTTGCAGTACTGTTGTTAACAACCATTTAGACTTACCATGACTTCTCTTATCACCTTGGTATCTATGGTGATATCAAACTTGTGACCCATGATTACTTTAATTAAAGTATTTAGTTTGAAACAGGAATGCTTTGTTCTACTTTAGATTAGCTTTCCAGATGAAGAGTTGAATTATTTGACTTTCTTCATACGTGAGAATAGAAACTAAACAATGGAGTTCTGTTCCTTGAGATGTTTAAAGAAGTGTTTGTTGCGGATGCTTCAGTCCTGTTCTTGCATTACGTTTTCTGAATACTGTCTAGCGTCTTTCCTTGTTATTTCCATTGGAGTATCCTGACATGGATTTAGAAAACTGTATATAGTTAATGGCCATTCTCCAAGTGAGACACCCCAATATGTACTAGGAGAACTAGTTTTTACAAAATGGAATTTGAGTACCTGGTAAAGACCAGATTCAGCTTGACTATTCCTCTTTATACCCAGATTAGGTATACAATTGTAGTGGGGAGGAGAAGGATTACTAGAAATCACTTCATCAGATTGCAGTTGCGGAACTAACTCTTAGACACAGGAACGTTTGGGAAGATGATGCTGAAATACTGGCTCCAGCAAATGTTAGAATTTCAGGCAACTTGGGCTTAGTCTTGAAGAAACGTTATATTGGTGTAAATACAGCTGCTTCGGAGTAATGATTGATTCTGTAAAGCTTTAGGATCTGAAAAAGGTTTTGTTTTGGCTTAGTTTATTATTTGCATAGATGCTTAGCAAGTTTAGGGCTGAAATAATGCAGCTGAACTAAACGTTGCCCATGGACGTTAAATGACCGAAGTACCCTCTTCCTAGATAGGAAAGACAAAGATACGGAAGTTAATGTGTGATTTGGAAAAGGACTCTTGGTAATCCAGGAAGCCTGTGCAGTGGACCCATGTTTTAGAATTTGGGGCGTTCATGCTGGGTTTTTAGAAGGTTCTTCAAGATCTCTTTAAAAACCTTTTAACCTCTTAAAACAGTTGGAAAATCTTTGATTTGACTACATGTTTTTTGCCCCGGCGATCTGATAACCGTCTGCTGTTTGAGTGAGTTAGTTGTCTTTTATAGTATAGGTGATAGACGAGTCATTTAGTTCAGTCCTGGGCCTATATCAAGGGTGGCCAAAAATCTCTCTGACGATGAATAGGGAATGAGCTTCCTATATAGAATTATTTTTCATAACTGAAGCAGGAAATGATTATCTGGTTACTTCAGAATATTAGGACGATGATCTGCTTTTGACTCTAGTTATGATAACACTGTAGGCTTTTGGTGTTCATAAACATTCAGTATGCAGTAAAATTTTTCCTAGTGAACCTTAGAGGGTAAGCATACGCTTTCAATATTTTCCTACATCTGTTTTATATGTCTTTTCACTTTCAAAACTGAAATATGCTGATGTGGTTAATCGCGTAATTCTCAGTTAGGTTGCCCCTTAGCCCCTCTTTGAAGTACTGTCCTCTAACTTACTTTTGGCTCTTTCCTTGGGAGGTACGTGTCGTTAGTATGATGCTCATTCAGAAGGCCGTAGTGCTTCTGCGCAGTGCCTCACAAATGTTGAGGTCAGATGGTGACTGTTGATATATGCAGTGTTTTTTGTCAGTTCTTGTCTCCTTCAGAGATGCAACAGAGATGGGTGACATGAGGGAAGAACCTGTTCTCCATCTATGCAAGGCACGTGGGATAAAAAGTAGCCTAGTAGCCAATTAGGTGTTAAAAAGTGACAGACCATGTAGAATGGAATTTAGCGTTCTGAAATGTCTTTTAATAACTGGATTATTTAACAAGCTAATTATGGTCCTTTGCTTCCAAACATGACCAATAAACTATTTTGGCTGAGGAGATCATGATGTGGTGGCAATAACCAAGCTGCTGCCACAGTGCCTTGGTACTGCACAGTTGCCAAATAATCCTTTATCACATAACTACATTTCAGCTGATCCGAAAAGCAAATGTTTTTAACTGTATGGTCATAAAAACAAAATTTAAGCTTAAACGTTCATCCTCTTAGCTGGTAAACAGATGAGCTCTTAAGCTGGTACCTTGAGGAGGAAGCTCTAGGCTCAGGTCTCATTGCTGTACTAGCAGGTGTACCTTCTGGGTTCCCTTTTGCACTCCTTATTTTCCACACGGGAGATTTGATTGAATAACAATATGTGTTCTCCCTTCTCTATTTCAAAGTAGGAGCTCAGAAAAGTAGGGGTCTAGAGATGGGAGTCCCAAGGTTACAGTCAAGAGTAACAGAGGCAAAATACTGATAGGCCTTCTTGGATTGAAAGTTGAGGGTCTCATTAGAGAGCCAGTGTATTCCAGGGATGTCAGCTGGGGCTGGCTACTATTCCAGAAATGCATGAAATCACGAGGTTCTGGGATGGGTGGATTTTCTGTGCAACAAAAGGGCTGCAACAGGTGGAGAAAATGTGGTAATAAGAACAAAAGGTTTTCAATAAAAGACTTGGGAAACGGATTCTGTCACATTCTGTCATTGATCTGTTACATGGAATCTGCTTTTCTAGTAATTTGATTTTCTCCTGCTTGAGTTGGTACTTTGGCTTGGTACTCTTTATTACTTCACCAGTAGAAATGTACTTAAATAATAGCCAAAAGATCTGACTGGCTAAAACGCAGAACTTTCACTGATCTTAGTACAAAAATATTCCTTTGAGATACTTGCTTTCAATGCAGAAGTGTCCAGTTCAAGATGTATATTGCTTGCATCGGTGGTGTGAGAGAAATGCAGATGGAAGGACGTGGAACATGAACGTTTATTTGGATACCTCTCTAATGTGTCCTTAACGGATGCATAGGACACCCTAGTTCAGGATAAAAGTCTATCCTCTTTAATGAGGCATAGGAGGGGGGTGATGTAGGTATCTTTGTTTGTAACAAATCAGTCTTTTTGTAGCTTTATAAACTGGATGGATATTGGAAATAATTATTAAGAGTCTCTAGTAGTGCATATTTTTGATGATAGGGTGGTTAACTAGTTGACGTAGCTTCAGATGGTGAGCTTATCTCGGAAGACAGGACTGAAATTATGTTTCAAATTCCTAACTGAAAGCTGTAACATCTCTAGGGGAGCAGTGCTGAAGATACATTTAGGCAGAATGCTTTATAGTACAGCAGATTTGGATTTTCAAGTGCTTTTAAGGGACAAAATAAAGTGGGTCAGATAGTATATAGCAGTTCAGTTCCTTTTTTCCTCACTGGCTCCATGGATCTGTCCGTATTTAGCTTGCATGGGTGGCATCCAGATTATCCTGGCATGGACTTAAGCCACATGGAATTACTGCACCTTATTTGTAGTGTACTTTTCCAGAGGTGTTATTAGAATGTGAGGGTTGTGTCTGTTTAACTTTGCTCTCGCTGCAGTATTTTTGATTTTTTTTCTGATGCTTCGTGGGAGGAAAAGGGGAAGTAATTTGTCCATTTGGACGTAACAGGTGCCAGGGCTTGCGTGAAGGCAGAAAACGTCAAGCATCCAACTCGCCTTATTTGCAATGAGAATATTGCTTAACTTGTCAGCCTGAGTGAAAGTTTGCTTGGACTTTAGCCTCCAAACTTTGAGCTGTTTAGTACAGCTTGTTAGGGTCTCACAAATAAACTTGTGATAGATCTGCGCATAGAGGATGTTGGTAAACTTTGGAAGGAGTGTGGGGGGGTTTGTTTGTTTGTTTGTTTGTTTGTTTTCCAAGGAGTCGATAATGTCATAGGATGGTCTGTAACTGGGAGATTCTGGATGCTAAAGAGCTATGCAGTCTGCTGCTACTTTTGATAAGATATTTCACTTTTGATATGGACCAGATCTTCTATCTTGAAGGATGTTAGCCTGACACAGCACTTTAAGGTAACTATTTTATGTGGTGTTCTGGTCTGGTTTGGTGCAAACTCATTTCTGAAACTGTATGTACGTGCTGCTGTAGAGATATGCTTTTTGATATAGGAAAATTTGACCAAGTGTTTCTTATTTTGGCTTAATTATCAGGAATGTATGAAGTGATATCTTCTCATATTTTCTTCTTTGTCAGAGCAACATGTTCGTAGTTCTTCACGTTTTACTCCAATAGCCTATTTTAAGACATAGCAGTGGAATTGATTTCTGTTGGCAGGCTTTTGAGAAGGAAAGACACTGAAGGCTGACTTTTCTCAGTTTTGCCCTTATAATAGCAAGACAGTATCGTTGAATAGTGGGCCTTTACACTACAGACAGAAAGAAGATCTTAAGGAATGTTTGTAGAATTTCCCTGTTGACTCATGCATTTGATATGAGGCAGGAAATGAAAACTAGCTTCTATCGTAAATGTCATCAAATAGTCAAACTGGAAGTTCTGGGTAGCTGTTGAAATGGCTAAATTGAAGGCAGCCAGTCTCATTCTAGTCTGCAGCATGGAGAAGTCTTCACATCTAGCTTTCCAGAAGTTCTGCACTTCTCTGACTCATTGTGTATGTGGTTTTGGTTTTTTGTTTTTTGCCTCTGTATGCATTGCTAAATATCTTTTCTCAAGTTTCCAACTGCTTGGAAGAACAAATTGTTGCTGAACTAGAAGCTTATACCTGAATTGAATTTGTAACTCCTGCAGATGCTGTGAAACTTACTGTAAACCTTTGCTTAAGGTAAATCCAATTGCTTTCTGTAAAGCACTGGTAAAGACTGAAAGGTAGTGTGATGAATGAAAACTAGACATGAAATGAAAAATGGTCCAAAAAGTCACTTTTCAGTTTATTTCTAGTTTAATATTGAGGATGGTATTTTTGTATTAATGCTCCTATCTGTGAGTTGAAGTCTGTTTTCCTCTTTCACCATTGAACATATAAGTGAACTGCTATTTGATCTGGTAGATCAGATTAAACCTCAAACTAGCAGTAACATTTCTAGAAATAGCTCAGTGGCAAAGATTAAAAGCAGGCATTACAAATTGAATAGAAATTTGCCCTTAGTGTATTCCTTTTACTCACTTATGTCTTCTTGTCCTCTCTTTCCTAATTTAAGTTACTGAGTAATGGATAATGTTACTTCCTCAGTTTCTCTTT